TTGACTTCGAAGGAGATACTATCCTCCGACTCGGGTCCCCCTGTCTCTTGTGAAATATCCTTATCAACTAGAACTTCTTGACACAAAACTGGTAAGGTTTCCATGGCCTAGATCTTCGCAAACGCGCGATATAAATAGAAACAATTTATTTTGTTTTTAAATCCAATTTGAAATGTTTTTGTTAATGTATTTATTTAAAAGTTTGTTTACTTTTGTTTTGTTTTGTTTTTCAAAAAAGCAAGTACAGGTATAAAAAGTTCACATCTTAGTGAATGATAAACTGGAAGGAAACAGAGGCGTATCCTGACTGGATTAGAATGTGGGCCAGACAGTGTCAGCTATCCTCTGCATGAGTTATGTGAGCTAAGAGGTAATTACATACACAAACACAGATTGCACAATTAACTTAGCATTTGAAGGTAGTGGCGTAGCAAGGGTCCGGTGGGCTTGACCTTTCTAGCGGCCTTAACCGAGAGGAATAATGAAACTGACCACGCAGACCCCTTCGAGCCCCTAAACTTGCCTAAGAAGATTTTAGTTGCCTGTCAGGCGGTAGTACTTGCTGAAGACCTGCCTCATCACCAGAAAAACTCCTCATTTTGACACTGTTAAAAGGACTGCATTGAATTTTGACTTTTTGATGCCTTCAAACAAATTTCGCCCACGCCCATGCCAGAGAACGAATATTACCAATATTAAATCATTTCTAAAATTGTAATAATAATCTTTATTTTCCTTGCGTAAATGTCTTAGTAACAATTGCGAATAACACATACCAACATATTATAAAGATACCAAAAGAATAATACAATATTATAAAGATACCAAAAGAATAATACAATAGCAAATGCAATATACCTTTTACGCTCATAACACACTTTCAAGTATATATTACATGCCATAATGTATATAGGTCTGCGATACATTCTAAGTTTCCATAGTTACGAGTTCCCTAAAGGGCCGCCACTGTTACGTGTGTAAAGTTTGTCTTATAACTATAGTTTAGTTTTTAAAAAAAATATATTCTCCAGAGCAACTACCTTTTAGTAAACACAGACTACCAGTAGAAATGCATTACGTTTGAAATACGAGTCGAGCTGCAAACCGTAATTTTTCTCCCATGAAGTCGTCTGCATTTTGTGCGGTCCTGTGCTACACTTCACTTCCTATGCCAGCAAATATTGGATCAGTTTGTAACTACGTTATAGCTCAATATGTAGCTATTTTTTTTTATAGGACTAGATCTAGAATAATTACTCAAAAGTCTTCCCTTTGGGAGGAGAGAGAGAGAGGGTTTTTTTGTTTTTTTTTTGGAAAAGAGAGGGGGGGGGTAGATAAAAAAAAATTCTTGTCCAAACTGACTACTGTCAGTGATAAAATGAATATCATGGCATTCGTTTGTAGGATGTTTGTAGGCATAATATTCGTGCGCAGAATTATAGTCCGATGACCGGACAAACAGCAATCATAGGAAGTACTTGCAGACGTGACATGATAACTTAAGTCTTCACTCTATAACAGCGGTTCTCAACCTTTTAAGCTCGGCGACCCCTTTTTACAGACCCCCACTCTGCCGCGACCCCCCCCCCCCCCGACACACACATACAGCAAAAGAAGAGTAGACAATAGCAATCCATAGTTTCAATGGTCTTAAGCGACCCCTGGCAAATGGTCATTCGACACCCAAGAGGGTCGCGACTCACAGGTTGAGAACCCCTGCTCCATAACATGATGTTTAGTTACATAAAGATAAATCCACTTTCCATGAACATGATGCAAGTAATATAATCCATACTGTCTTGGAATAATAAGCAATCAAGGAAATCCTATGCCGAACTGGGAGTCGACCACATAGTGAGGTTGTGACTAGGTGTCGCATGAGGTTTGCGGGACATGAAATATCAAAACGAATTACGCATACCAAGAGCTGCGATGACATGGAGGTCAATACGAGGAAAGCGCCAACAGGGACGTCTTCGTATAACTTGGCACCACACTTTCATGGAGGACCTCAGAGCAGTGGACACCAGGTGGGAGGAGGCTTCAGACAGTGCCAATCACTGACTATACTTATCTTATCAACAGACTACCTACATCAACTGACTACACTTATCTTATCAACAGACTACCTACATCAACTGACTACACTTACCTTATCAACAGACTGCCTACATCAACTGACTACACTTACCTTATCAACAGACTACACACATCACCGACTACACTTACCTTATCAACAGACTACCTACATCAACTGACTACACTTACCTTATCAACAGACTGCCTACATCAACTGACTACACTTACCTTATCAACAGACTACCTACATCAACGACTACACTTACCTTATCAACAGACTGCCTACATCCACTGACTACACTGACCTTATCAACAGACTGCCTACATCAACGGACTACATTGACCTTATCAACAGACTGCCTACATCAACTGACTACATTGACCTTATCAACAGACTGCCTACATCAACTGACTACACTTACCTTATCAACAGACTGCCTACATCAACTGACTACACTGACCTTATTAACAGACTACCTACATCAACCGACTACACTGACCTTATCAACAGACTGCCTACATCAACTGACTACACTTACCTTATCAACAGACTACCTACATCAACCGACTATACTTACCTTATCAACAGACTACCTACATCAACTAACTACACTGACCTTATCAACAGACTGCCTACATCAACTGACTACACTTACCTTATCAACAGACTACCTACATCAACCGACTATACTTACCTTATCAACAGACTACCTACATCAACTAACTACACTCACTTTATCAACAGACTGCCTACATCAACTGACTACACTGACCTTATCAACAGACTGCCTACATCAACTGACTACAATTACCTTATCAACAGACTGCCTACACTTACCTTATCAACAGACTGCCTACATCAACTGACTATACTGACCTTATCAACAAACTACCTACATCAACTGACTATACTAACCTTATCAACAGACTGCCTACATCAACTGACTACACTGTGCGAGGCCTTGAGCAATCGAAGGCCCTCGGCTGCTGCCGCTTGCTGTCTAGTTTGCCTATGCCAAAGGCCGGCCCTGCTGAAGCTAAACATGAAACGCTGACGTCATGTAAATGCGGTGAGCTAGGTCAGTCTGGTAGGGATTTTAATGTTGTTTTTTTTTCTATGTAATATATGACTTAGATCTTAATAGATCTTCTAGCTTTACCCCCAAAAGCTGAAATGTTCCTTTGTATAGATCTGGGATGATTCACACACACTTAAACACATAGGCCTACACACGCGTGGATATACACGTAGAAGACGAGCAGTGAGACGTAGCAGACGTCATTGATCCATAAGAGAGGCAAACCGTGACTGATCTAAACATTTGGTAGACCCCAATTCAAAGACTCTCAAATCTAATTTCTTATTACCCAAGGAATGTGAGAATTAAACCGTACCGATATAATGTATAACAAATCATTAAAACAATGTTTTGCTATATGCAGAAAATTGGAAGTCTAAAAAAAACTTTCCGTACCGCTAAATACCATGACTTTTATTGATGTCGACAGGGTTCCTTACGTGGACAGATTTAGAACCACTGGAGTACTTAAAGCACATTTCTGGTATTAATGTTGCCTCTATGGCCTACCTGCATTGATGACGTGACAGTGCGAGGAGTTGCCGGTTGTTTACTCTCGGACCCAAGTAACATAAGCAAAGACGACTTACTATTGGCTGCTTGAGCCACGTGATTGTAGCCTCGAACCATTCACGAAGGCAGATTGACAGATGGTGTAAGCTATGTGAATGGCTTTCTCTGCAGGCTTTGTGCTGTAGAACGTAAAACATGCTGACTTGATTCAACTTTTGCTAACGTCAAATTATCTTTTTGAGTTTTTTTAGATCGTATGGAGTCAAGGATGTGGATGGATTGAAGAAACGGAGTAAAATACCTGAGGGTCTAAATTTGCGGGGTTCTCCTAATGTTGATAGGTGAGACCCTGTTTGGTAAACGTTTGTTATGGTGCAGGTTACACGAGTGCGTTTTGTAGACAGCACAACTTTCATTTACCAAGAGAGCCTCCTCCAGAAACGAATGCGAGACCTTTGGTTCAATAACCAAGATTCTCGGTCTCCAAGTAAAAATGTGTATGTGTGTGCAAAAGATGGGAGATGTTGCTCTGTGTATGTGTAAGGTTTTTGATTTGTGTAATCGGGGGCCATGTGATGTGAAATAGTTCATCAGTTTCTCTATCAAACAAAAAAATTAAATGATCAAAAGTTTTTGATGGTAACCCACTTCCGGCCACAGCTCATGATGGTCTACTGAAATATTTCTAGAGGGAATTTTTAACATTAATATTTAGGACAGTTGTCTCCTCTTTAACATTTTGATTAGAAAGCTTATATCAACTTTGTCGTTTTGGTAAAAAAGTTTGAACATGTTATTTCTCCCACACCCGTTCTTGGATATAGTTGAAACTTAACATAATTACAGAACAAGAATCAAAATATTTTTTACAAAATTACAAATATTTGTCATTAATTATTTTGTTTGGTATTAAACAAGGGAAAAAAATGTACTTGTCTGATTTGGCAATTTCATTTAGTTGAAACTTAACAGATAGCTATGAAACCTATTTACATAAGCACTTTGCTGCCACAGTGGTTAGTGTATTGGCTTGAGCCCTCAAGTTTAAATTCAAGTAGTACATTCTTTTTTTTTTACAAATACATTTAAAGTCTACCACAGCACCCTTCACCCGGATATCCAAACTAATCAATACAATTACAGTTAATATAAGACCATAAAGTGATATAGAGAAATGTGGAGGTGGTATAAAGGAACCTAAAAAAAAATCTATAGAAAATTTAGAGTGGAAGATTGAGAGAAGATATGTATTAGATAAAAGAAGCAATGTCAATGATGATAAATTGAAAGATCACTATTAACGAAACAATATAAAACAAAAAAGTCCAGCAATTTTGGTAGCATTTATTAAAATCAGCAAATTAAAAAAAAAAAGAATTTAAAAATAAATTTGTAGAACACAAAAAAAACTGGCTATCTTGTCATGAGGGAGAATGCCCCTGCTGTAAACATGTTTATATAAAAGTCATCCAATAAAGTAATCATAGTCAATTTGTAAATAGCAATATGGATTTCAAAACAAAAATGTTATTTAGGTCCTGATGAACTGATTTCAAGGATAGTGGACTGTATCAAGTGATTGAATCAAAGCACATTGCAATGGCATGTTTTACATAAACACTACCAGTATTTAAAATGCCATTCAAGTTTATTTTTTGTGATTATTAGCTGAGTAGTTAATATTATTCAGAAAAAAAAATTATCAAAATATGTGTGTGTATTAATATGACAAAGATTTACTTTCTAAAATAGCCCCTCATTTTTAAAAAGAAGGGCAGTAACACAGCTTATGCTTTTTACCTTCTAAATAGATTAGTTGCTTCCCTTTCCAGTTTTTTTTCATCTTTATTTTACTATGAACTGCTGCTAGGTAAATAGAAGATGAATTAATGGGGGAAAAGCGCTAAGTGCCAATCATTTTGTGATAAAGATATATTCCTTCTAAATTTAAATCTTTCTCTCCGTAATTATTTTTCCATGTTTTGAAGGAATTCTTCATATGCTCATTACTATTTCACTATCCCTGTTATGATTGGGCTTCAATAGCTTTGTTGTTTGTTATCAGAAACTGTTGTATTTGGTATAGATTTAAAGGGAAATGCATGCTCTTTTTATATAACACAAAGTCAAGTTTAAAAAATTAAACATTAAATTGAATGAAGTCAAAATCAACGAATATATCGTCGATTAGGAGAGAAAGAGTTAAATATATTTAATATTTTAAATAACATGGCACAACCTAGAAATTTATTTGGCCTATCATGAACGACCTAAAACGCTTTAAAAAAAAAATTTTTTTGATAAATCACAGGAAAATGTGTAAAATTTGTTAACCTGCGACAGATGACTGAAAATAATCTAGGTCAGTGTTTCCCAAACAATTTACTCAACCAGAACACTTTGAACATTCGGAGTATTTAGCCGAAAATTTTCCTTTTTGTTTAGAGATTAATTCACTTGGCGGCCTACTAGTTAATTTTTTCCAGAAGTTCGTAGAACCACTATTCAGGCGTTGTGGAAACCAGGGTTCCGCGGAACACAGTTTGGGTAACGCTGGTCTTGACAAAGTTAAATGAACGTTATCTTATCTTGTAGATTACAAACTTTACTCTTGTCAAGCAAGAGTTCAATGAAGACAATATAGCCAGAGATAACTGAACATGGCCTATGTAACAAAGTAGGATATAATAGGTGGGCAAATTTGCTGATATGATTTGTGAACAGAAGAGAAAAAAAAAACAGACAACAAAATATTTCAAGGTATTTTTTTTTTAAAATAAGAAACTGTCTAGATGAATTCATTTCAAATAAATATGAATTTCAAATACACTTTCTTGTTACTTTTCATGTGATCACGTTATATCTTTGTGAGTGTGTGGATTCTGAGATGGCCCCATTCAGGCTTCAAGCATCATGTCATAGAAATAATGAAATAAAGCTATGGTCAGAATGATGTCCACCTCATAGCAGTTCCCCCCCTCTCCACACAGCTGATTTGTCCATGATTTTGACAACTTTGATACAAGATACAAAAGGTATCCCTACTGATATATAGTGCAGAACTTCTCTGCTACAAATGTAATTCACCCCCACCACCTCTCTAGAATGGTAATGGATGGATATAATAAACAAAATATGATACAGCATTATACAAAAAAAGTCTCATGTTTACAACTTTAAAGAAAATACAATTTTTATGTCAGTGTTTGAAATTTAACAGACTCTGATTAAATAAAAATAAAAAAAAGCATCTGTTTAAATACAATATATAAACCTATACAATGTCACTGATAACCTAACAAACAGTTTATAATAATAATCCCCCAATCGTGAAAATATTGAGTTGGCAGCCTGTGGTACTGATCACTATAAAAAAAAAAATTGTTTAAAGCAATTCATCAGAAATTTCTTCTGGAGTTTGTAAATGTTTTACATGTTTCTGACCTTCTTATCTCATATAATACAGCTGTCACTTCAAAAAAGAAGATGATTACGTCCTACGCGTCCAATGTTCCTTAAGACTCTGAATATAATTACATCCTAGCCCAAATCTCCTGCAGGACAACAGGCAAAGGCAGAGGGCAGGGTTCAAACCCAGCACCACAGAACAGCAGTCCAGAACACATACTACATGACCAGGCAGCCTGAGCTTTGGGTTAAGACAAGCTGTCGTCATAATGAGTAGGCTTCAAAATGCTCTAGATCTATAATACAGTAGTGTTGGTTTACTAAAACAGATAGAACACTGACAGGGTGTGAAAGGAGAGACTTAATTCTGTTTAGAGGATTATACAAGACTAAGAACACAAATAAAACATTGTGGCAACATAATCAGTTGTTTTTTTTTAATTAACTAAGTCCCCATGTTAAAGTGGACACATGGAAGGTCATACAGCAACTCATATAGTTGTATGTAAAAACAGGTAAAAAAATAAAAATAACCTTTGATATGTCACCTAGCTCATATTACTTTGTGTTTGTTTAAGCTAGATAACTCAAGATACAAATGTTTCTTATAGACTCAGATGCCTACAGAATGAATTTTAGCAGAGCAACATGCAAGATAAATCTAGGTGCCACAAAAACAAGTATAATCAGACACCTTGGAATCAACCTGATGTTTTGTCCCCAACAGACTTGGTCGAATGACATACTTATTGCTTGTGTAAGCTACACCCAGTGTGCGCTACACTCTGCTAGCAGAGTTGTGCTTACAGCCAAAAAGTATGTTTAAAAATAATAATTAGGATAATTGATCTAGGATGTTTTGGTAATAAGCTAAATTGGCAAGCTGTATTGGGAATAGACAAAGGATCTTTCAAAGTTGAGCTGACAAAATGTAAGGTAAACACACACACACAAAATATGTAAGCTAGTTGAGTGCCTACAGTACTTATACTTGGCACTGTAATGACAGTTAACCTGCATTTGTTTTTTAAATCCTCAAAGAAATTCTTCTTAAAATCTGTCATCTAGAAACTTAAACAAAGGATGACATAGCAACTGACATACAATATATATATATAAATGACAACTTAGTTTAATCTACAACAGTAAATCTGAATGCTTTTAAGTTATTTTTTTCAATACATTTTTTTTATATATACACATAAACAAAAGAAAAAAAAAAAGGTTTTAGGAGACTAGAGTGGCTGAGAAAGAAAAAAAAAATTCTTTATGGTATGCACTGTATTGCTTCCACGAGGGCAGCTGCCTGAATGGGAACTTTCCCGTGTTATTCTATTGGCAAGCATTTGTATTTGACCTGCTTATGCTTCTGGCTATACTTCACACCCTTGGGTTCGGTGTTTCGGTTCAGCAAATGGACACAGTCTCAGAAACAATTGTGGGATTCTTATTGTACAACCAGCATTACTGCTTTCGTGTCAGTAAGCTTATATAGGCCTCAAAGCTAGGATCCTTTGGGTATTTTTTGCCACTCATAGACACCACAATTATTTTAAAACTGAGGATGCCCAAATTTTAACTTTCTCGTAAACTCCCAGAAATATGGAGCCACCAATAGATATCCAGACAACTCTAGGGACCATGCCAGAGAAGAGACCAGGAAGACCTCTCTCATGAATCACCTGTCGTAAGACAAAGCCTATATCACCCTTGGCAACAGTCGAACCCTTTTTAGCTAGGATGATCCTGGTTTTAGCCACGTCAAGAGGTGTGGTTATTGCCGCAGAAGTTCCTCCAGCCACTGCACCACATATGGAAGACTGCCAAGCGGTTACTGGCTGACCAGTCTTTTCTGATACTTTGGATTTCATAAACTCCCATAAAGGAAACTGTATTACAGAAAATGGGACTTCACGCATGACGGTGCTTGCGTAGCCTCTGTAGAAGCCTCTCAGGCCTTCGGACCGCAGGGTGTAGCGGAATGACTCTAGGGAGGACGAGGTGCTGAAAACTTGAGTTCTCTGCTTCACCACTTCCACAGGAACTCTCACAAGGCACGCTGTTACCTCTCCTAATGTGGCAGCCATCATGTGACCAATACTTTGAAGCCTTTCATGCTGCACCAATGACCCATAGATACCCTTAGAGGTTTCATACGCTACAAAGAACAGAGCAGCGCCAGGAGCAGATCCCAGCGCTGCGGAAAGAAGACCAGAATAAACACCTCTAATTCCCCCCGACTTTATGAACCCAGCTTCTGATTGAAGTCGGGTCTTAATGGTATCTAACGGGAACAGTATAACATCTACAGCTGTCCCAGCTGCTCCGCCAGCAAGCAGAGCAACTTTAAAAGGGACCTGTGTTTTTTCAGCTACAAATTCTTCCATTTGTTACAAAAGACTAACTAATTCTACTTTTTTTTTTAATTTAAGAAAAACAATTGAGCAAAAAAGTAGACTACATCAAAGATGTAACCATAAAAACTACAACAAAAATATATTTTTCAAAAAAATATAAATACAAACAAAGATAAATAGGAAAAAAAAAAGTTTTTGATTTTTTTTTTTTTTCAAATAATATCAGAAGCTTAATAGCTACTCTCTAACACAAATCTCAAATTGTTGATTATAATGGCAAGAAAGGTAACAGAAACAATAAACTGATATGAGATGATTGTAAGTAATCTTCTAAAAATAGTTTTGTTTTAAAAAGGAACAGTACCAATAAATCCCAACAAAAGAAAATTGAAAAGCAAAAAAGTGATTAAGGGAGGCTAATCTGTAAATGTAATCAGCGATTTCACTGGATAGGAAACCTTGTCTCTGCCTTTCAAGGAGGGAAGCTCAATGATGACCAGACACAGACAAACTTGGGCTTTCAACTTGACCATCAAGTCACAAGCTGCTTTCATAGTACCTGGTCAGTTGAAGTAATATACACTATAGTACCCTAAGTGCAAAGTACCAGTACAGAACAAAATATAGACTTGATCTCAAAAAGTCCTAGAAATGAACCTATTAAAAAAAAGAGACCAACAAAACCTATGAAACAAAACATGTAGATTATATATTAAAAGGAAAAAAAAAAAAGGACTAGACTTACCCCCAGTAGCCAAAAGATCATCCACGATGACAACTTTTGCCCCTTGGGCTACAGAATTTGACTGGGCTTCAAATGTATCCTGACAAGTAAAACACAGTTAGTAAATTTAGGGGGAAAAAAAAAAGGGTACATCAACAGATGTTTGAACAACTGAACAAGGAATAGAAACAAGATTACTTTCTAAAATTAA